TAACAACACTAATAATACAAACGGTAACAATGATACAAATTATACTTAAGCAATAGAAGCAGTACTATTACAAATGATCATAACAGTCATACGAAACATACACATACTCCTAAATATAGTAAGATGAGAAGGAGGAGGAAGAGGAGGAGGAGGAGGAGGGAGGAGGGAGGAATGAGGAGGAGGAGGAGGAGGAGGCTTTCTCCCGCTGCCCCTCAGCATTCACTGGGAGGGTCACCCCTCCCGCTACATGCAGTTGCACAGGGATGGGCCCCTGCATGCTCTTCTTGAACCAACCGGAACAAATCCAAGCTGACCGTCCGCTTTCTCTTCTTCCTCGCGCCCCGCCGGTAGGTGTGGGGACCTTGCTCGCTTCCTGCTGGAGCTCGCGATGGTTCACGACGCAGAGGTTGCGCCAGAGCTCGCAGCGCGCGCGCGCCGCTCTGCAAGCTAGCTGGCGCTGGCGAGCCTGCGGACGCTCCGGACAGCAGGTGCGCGCTATATCCGCGCGCCGGCGACGCCGGCGCTGGCTCTGGCGCTCAAGGCTGAATGCCAGTGGAGTGGCGGCCTGAAGCAGGCTGGTCGTGAACGATGTCTGCTGTCGGATACCGGAGGTCGCTCAAGACCGAACGATCTAGGCACGCGGTGTCAGAAACCAACGTCCAGGACGAGCCGTGCCTGGACTTCAGCGTCGCGCGATGATCGCGCTGCGCGTCTGTTCGGGCCGTTTTGGTGGGCCCCGGGGCCTGCAGGAGGCCCAGCGCGGCTAAGATAGCATCCCAGGGGAATGGGATCGAACACATCCCAGATGTAGGCTCGGTCTCTATTCTGGAGGCACGCGTCGGGGGAGAGGGGGGGGGGGGTACGGAGACTGTTGCGTGCAGCTGTTCTGGCCTGCCGCAGGGCATTTCTTTCCATACAGTGGCGCCTCGGACGCGGGGACGCGCCTGGAAAACCAGCTACGTGAGCTGATTACCCCCCTCTGTTATCCCCCCCTTCGTCCGACCCGAGAGTCTGCTGCTAATCCATGGTGGAAGTCTCTTCTCTCCCAAACTGAGGTTGCCAGGGAGGTCTTTGAGGCCTTCTCCGCCCCTCCCCTGGCCTCCTCCGCGTGCGTGGGATCGCGCGCGGGGCGCGGAGGAGGATGAGCAGGAGCAGGAGCAGGAGCAGGAGGAGGAGGAGGAGGAGGAGGAGGAGGAGGAGGAGGAGGAGGAGGAGAGGAGGAGGAGGAGGAGGAGAGGAGCAGGAGGAGGAGGAGGAGGAGGAGGAGGAGGGAGGAGGAGGAGGAGGAGGAGGAGCAGGAGAGGAGCAGGATGATAGCAGGAGGAGGAGGAGGAGGAGGAGGAGGGGGAGGAGGAGGAGGAGAGGAGGAGGAGAGGAGGAGTGGCAGGAGTGGCAGGAGTGGCAGGAGGAGGGGATTGGGGGAGGAGGAGGGATTGGGGGGGGAGGAGGATGAGGATGAGGATGAGGAGAGGATGAGGATGAGGAGGAGAGGAGGAGGAGGAGGAGAGGAGGAGGAGGAGGAGGAGGAGGAGGAAGAAAGGCGGAGGAGGAGGAGGAGGAGGAGGAGGAGGAGGAGGAGGAGGAGGAGGAGGAGGAGGAGGAGGAGAGGAGGAGGAGGAGGAGGAGGAGGAGGAGGAGGAGGAGGACGAGGAGGAGGTAGAGGTGGAGGAGTCGGAGGGAGAGGAGAGAGGAGGAGAAGGAGGAGGAGGAGGAGGAGGAGGAGGAGGAGGAGGAGGAGGAGGAGGAGGAGGAGGTTAGGAGGGGGAGGAGGAAAAGGAGGAGGAGGGGGAGAAGGAGGAAGGGGAAAATGAGGAGGGGAGGAGGAGGAGGAGAATGAGGAGGAAGAAGAGTAGAAGGAGGAGTTGCGGTTTCCGCGCGCGAGGACGGAGGAGCGCGAGTTTAGATGCTCAACGGCGCACTGAGTCTCAACGTAAAGGAGATCCTCCTCTTCCTCTCTCTTGGGCCGCGTGTTCCCGCCCTCCTGCCTCTTCCGCGTCGTCGGGGGTTGCCTCAGCTCGCGACCGACCTGTCCTGACATGCAACATTGGTCGTCGTGGGTCGTCGCTTCCGTCGTCGGTGTCATCGGGGATCGTCGGGCGTTGTCCTCGTCGCCGTCGTCTTCGGGCGTGGTCGTCGTCTGGCGTCGTCGTCGGGGGGAGGGGGAAGAGGAGGAGGAGGAGGAGGAGGAGGAGGAGGAGGAGGAAGAGGAGGAGGAGGAGGAGGAGGAGGAGGAGGAGGAGGAGGAGGAGGAGGAGGAGGAGTAGGAGCAGGAGCGGGAGAACGAGCAGGAAACGCTACAACCCTCCAGCTCGAGTTCGCCCAGCGTAAAACAATAAGCAAGAGCATAATGTTTGTAGTCATGTAGTCGCCACGTGCTGGGAATCCTTTCTGGACCCCAAGTCTTCCTCAATCAAAGCGTTTTCGGTGTAACATCCGTCCTAACACGTAAGTTCTTCCCAGCCGAAGTGGTTTCTGTGCAAAGCCCTTCTTGGACCCAAAACCTTACCACGCCCAAGGGTCTTCTGTGTAAAGTCATTCCTAGTCTTACATTCCTTCCCTGCCAACGCGTCTTCTACTTAAGATCCTTTTTGGCCACAGCATCCTTACCAGCCCAGATGTTTTCTGTGTACGGTTTCTCCTTATTCTGCAATCCTCCCCAACCAAAGCGTCTTCTGTGTGAAATCTCTCCTGGCCCCAGAATTCTTCCCAGCCCAAGCGTGCCTTGTAGAAAAACATTCCTCATTCCAGAATCCTTCCGGCCCAACGCGTTTTCCATTGAACATCGTTCCCAGTCCGACATCCTGCCAATTTCAACCGTTTTCTGTATTGAACCCGTCATGTCACCAAACTCATTCCCAACCAGCTCATTTTGGTATGTGAAATCTGCCCTGGCCACGAAATCCTTCCCAGCCCATGTGTTTTCTGTGTGAGATCCTTCCCGCCTTGCGAGCTTTCCCAACCAAAGCACTTCCTAATTTAAATCACCCCTAACCCAGAATCCCTCCCAGCCCAAGCGTTCGTATGTGTAAAATCCTTCCTGGCTCCATAGTCCTTCCCAACCGAAACGTGTTCTAGTCAAACTCCTTCATGGCCCCAGAACCCCCTCCCAGACCACGGGTCTTCTGTACGCCATCCTTCCCAATTCTGGAGTATTTCCAACCGCAGCGTTTTCTATTCAAACTCCTCCCTCACACTAGAAGTCTTCCCATGCCAAACGTGCTCTGCGTAACATCCGCCCTAACCCTAAACTTCGTCTTAACTGAGGCGCGTTCTATCATCATCCTTACTGACTCCAGAATCCTTCCCAGTCCAGGCGTTTTCAGTTTGAAACCCTTCCTAGCCCCCAGATCCATCCCAGCCCAAGCGTTTCTATGAAACACCCTTCTTGACCCCCAAACCAGTCTCAGCCTAAACGTTTTCGGTGTAACGTCATTCCTAACACCAGAATGTGTTTCAACCAACGCGTTTACAGTGTACACTCCTTCCTCACACCCCTCCCAGCCCAAACGCCTTCTGTCTAACATCCTTCCCAATCCCCAAATCCTTCCCAATCATTTCGCTTTCTATCTGAAACCCTTCATAACCCCAAATTCCTTCCCAGCCCATGCGTTTTCTGAATGCAGTTCTTGCTGACCCAAAGATCTTTCCCAGCCATAGCGTTTCAGATTTAACTGACATCCTCGCAGACCCAAGAATATTCCCCAGCCTAAGCGTTCTATAGGAAATCCTTACTGACCCCATTATCCGCCCAACCAACGCGTTTTCTATTTTAAATCTTTCTGAATCCCAGAGCCCTTGCCAGCCCAATTGCTTCTGAATGCAGATCCTTCCTGGCCCCAAACTCCTTCACAATCGATTCGTTCTCTAGTTTAAGTCTTCCCTAGCCGCAGAATCCTTTTCAGCCCAAGCGTTCTCTTTTGTAACATCGTAACCCCCCAAATCCTCCCCAACCAACATATTTTCATTCAAGAAACCCTTCCTAGCCACCTCATCCCTCCCAGCCGAAGCGTTTACTGTGTAACATCCGTCCCGATTCCAAAATCATTCCAAACTCAATCTGCTTCTGTGTGAACTATTTCCTAGCTCCCAAATCCTCCCCAACATCAGAATCCTTCTCAACCCAAGCGTTTTCTGTGCAAAGTTCGTTCTACTGCCACAGTCCTTTCCAGCCCAAGCGTTTTCTTTGCATCAATCGCCCTGATTCCAAAATCATTCCCGGCCCAAGCGTCTTCAACCCAAGCGTTTTCTGTGCAAACTTGAGTCCGTCCCCCAAACCCGTCCCAACCCAAGCGTTCTGAACGTACAATCCGTACCAACCCAGAATAGTTCCCAGCCCAAGCGTGCAGCTTCTTTTGCGACTTGGCACCCGTTCCACCTTGGTCGACCGCCGTGCGCTGGCCATGTCGCGACTACATCATGCCATCTGGGGCTGATTATTCACTGTAGCGCTTACAGTACAGCTACAGCATTAATGCTCGGCGACATTTTGATGTAGCGAAACATTCACAGTACATCTGATCCTCCCTCCCTTCCCCATCCCTCGTCCTCCCCCATTAGCGTCCGCCGCTGGGTGGGGGATGGCTGCGCCGCGTGATGGTCCCAAAGCCAACAGCAATAGCAAGAGGAGGACGAGGAGGAGGAGGAGGACGGGAGGACAGGGGGACGGGAGGACAGGGGGACAGGGGTGGGGGGCGGCGAGAGTCTGGGCTCGTCAGCAGTGTTGGCCTGCTCTCGGCCGCTTCGCCTTTTGTCTCCATTGACCCCGATCTCTTTGAGGGGTTCACCTCCGCGAAGTGTCTTGCTTTTCGGCCGCGGGGAAGGAGTTTTAGAAATATCCCAAAGATTTCGCCGCTTGTTTCGCGTATTTCATCGAATTCCGCGCTACATTGGAATTAGGGATGTGTTCAGCCAACATGGGCTACCTGGTAGGAGTTGGGAGGGTCCCCCGACAGGCATCAGCGAATGCAGCGATGCCGCCCCCTGCTGCGCTGTGGCCCCGCAGACATTCCTCTCAGATGAAGAGATTGTGTGTGTACTTAATACGGCATGCAGAGTCTGAGAACAACGCCAGGGCGATAAGGGGAGGTGCGGCGCAAGCAGATGTGGATGCAGAGCGTGTCAAGTTGGGATTTTGACTTGGGAGATTATTCAGCTGAGTCGATCAGATAATGCTTTGGATTTTCGGCGTTCGGTAGCGGAATCCTTGCGGGCCCTCCTTGAAGTTGGCCTTGGGTGAGAACTCAAGAGCGCCGATCATACGCATCTCAATTCGTACCAGGTCGCCACTGCATCGTTCGAATTATTGTCACCATTTTCGCTGCGTTGTTCACAATGGCCACGATTGATGATACATCAATGATGCGACAACGGTCTGATGTTATCTCTCCTGCACTGGAAACCTAGCCTTGCGAGGCCCCGGGGCGGAAGACCACCAGAGGCACCCGGAGTAGATCTATTCGGGTGCGTCTGCCCCCCTGGGGGCTTTCGCTGGGGGGGGCCCCGGGCTCCGGACGGCCCAAGTGGGCTCAAGACGGCCTCAAAGCGACCCGCAGAATTCGACCGGACCTGGGGGCACTCCACATCGTGCCTCTGGTCACGGTGACGGACTACGTGTAGCTGGAACCATTTTGCAAGCTTATACTCAGTAAGGTGCACGTGCCAATTGCGATCTCCCCAACGATCAACTTGTCGTGTGAGCCTCTTATGATTCACATCCTCGCTTTCGCTTCTCTGCGTAGCATGTCTTCGTTTTCGCAGAGATTGTCACGCGGTGAGAGCCGTTTCTTGTTCACTGGCTTTCTGCTGCGGTTTTCCTCCTCGATGTCGAGCGCCTTCCCTTCATCATGTTTTTCACGCCCGAGTTTGCCCGTGTCTTGTTCGTTGGCGTTCTGTTCCCCCATCCATGCGTCGCTCCTCCTTGCGCCCATCTCCGAAACTCCTGCTCCTCCTGCTGGTCTCCGTTGCCTTTCCGCCTTGCCTCGTGGGCAGGGGGATCACGACGTGTCCGGGAGCGACACTCCGGGCGATGCGGGCTGTGACGACGGTGGGCAGGGGCGTGTGCTACACTGTCCACACTGTCTGTTCTGGTCGGGTCGGTCTACTAGCTAAGCCCTGCCTCCGACTTCCTCTCCAGCACAGGTTCCCTTTAGAGCTCTACGAAGTGTTAGCTGCGCCCAGCACTCGAGTTCCTCAAAGCTCAGGTTTCCTTCAGAGCTCTACGAGGTACCTTCAGTGTCAAGGCGTGCTTGATTTATCCGTAAGGGCCGCCGGCCCCCTTTCTAACAGAGAGATCGTGGCTTCGAGGACGCGAAGATGGAGTAAATTTCAAGGGATAGTGGCCTCGGGGATGCGATTTTCTTGTAAGTTACGAGCGATCGTGACCTCGAGGACGCGAAAATCTAGTCATTCGTGACATTCGTGGCCTCGGGCATACAAATAGTGCATACATGGTCCAGGGCTTGGCCCCCCCCCCCCCAATGCTGATGCCTTTGGGCCCCCCCCCCTCCCGCGCGGTGGTCCCCCCCGCCCCCCCCTGTGGGCGTGGCGTGGTGCTGCGCTGCGGTGCCCCCCGCCCCCCCCTGTGGATGTGGTGTGGTGCTGTGGTGGTTCAGAGGTGGGCGTGGCGTGGTACTGCGCTGCGGTGCCCCCCTCCCCCCCCCTGTGGATGTGGTGTGGTGCTGTGGTGGTTCAGAGGTCGTCGTCGTCGTCGTCGTCCTCGTCGTCGTCGTAGTCCTCGTCGTCGTCGTCGTCGTCATCGTCGTCGTCGCCGTCGTCATCGTCGTCATCGTCGTCGTCGCCGCCGCCGCCGGCGTCGTAGCCGCCGCAGCCGTCGTCGTCGTGGTCGTCGTCGTCGTCGTCGTCGCCGCCGTCGTCGTAGTCGTCGCCGTCGTCGTCGTCGTCGTCGTCTCTGGGGCCATACCTTCTGGGGGGGGGGCCCGAGGAATCCTGGGACCAGACCATCTGGGGGGGGTGGGTGGCCGTGGGCCCGGAGCCCGGGACCATACATAACAACAGGTTATTGCCTCGGGAACGCGAATATTGCGTAGTTGTACAAGGGGTTTATGGTTTCGGGGGCGCAGATATTATATAGTATGAGAGGGATCGTGGCCTAGAGGACGCGAGCATAGCGTAATTTTGGAGGGGACGCAGACATTGCATACTCTGCGTGGGTTTCTGGCATCGGGGGCGCACATATCGTGTAAGCTGCGAGGGACTATGGTTTCGGGGACGTGAGCACGGTGTAATTTTGCAATTGTTCATGGCCTCGGGGACGCAAACATCGCGTCATTTAACAGGAATGATGGCCTCGGGGACGCGACTATTGTGTAATTTATGAGGGTGCATGGCCTCGGGCCTCGCGAGTGTCCTGTAATTTGCTGGGGTGTATTGCCTCGGGGGCGCGAATCTCATACATGTATATATATATATATATATATATATATGTATATTTGTGTATATGTGTATATATATATGTATGTATGTATATATATATATATATATATATATGTATTGTGCTTCTTCACGTGCCCCACGACCGCCCAGAAATTCTGAGACCACCCGGGGGGCGTCGTGTAGGGCGGTTTGGAGCTCCGCCCCCTCGCGCGGACTTCAACAGTTTACGGGAGGAAGCAGAACGCAGGACCGCGGCATCGGCAACTGAAACCTGGAGCTGGCGTGGGGAGGAGCAGACCTGAGCCACGCAGCCGCGTGGCTCCACAAGGGGGGCCGGCGGACTTGTTGCTAGAAAGGGCACCTCGTGCCAGGAAGGTCAGACTCCGAGGGTCGACCTCTCGCCCTCGGCGGCAGGCCCCTCACACGCCGGCGGAGGATGGCGACCACGGCGGCTTTGCCAGCGGAGGCCGATGCCTGCGCCTGGGAGCTGAAGCGCGTCCCCCCAGAGCACACGTTGCTATTCCCTCGTCCTCCTCCTCCTCCTCCTCCTTCTCCTCCTCCTCCTCTCTCCTTCACCTCCTCCTCTCTCCTCCTTCTCCTCCTCGTCCTCCTCCTCCTCCTCGTCCTCCTCCTCCTTCTTCTCCCACTCCTCCTCCCTCAGTCTGCCCTCCTCCTCCCCCAGTCTGGTACAGTCGAGGACCGGCCAAAGCGCCATCCCCTTCGCATCCAGCATGTGGCTTCGTGGATCGCTCGGGCCTCCAGCAAGAGGGGGCGGTGCAGGTTGGTGCGGCGGGAAAGACGCGCACGCGCGCTGCTGCACCCGTGCTGGCCGTCTCGCTTGCGAGAGTGTTCGGGCATGTTCTCCAGATCTTCGGCACCACAGGGCAGTGCTTGGTGTCTGGGTCGGTTGCTGGCCCCCCCGATGGTCCCCAGCTTGTGCATCCCCCGAAGCGGTTGTCAAACCAAGATCGCCCTCATCTCAGCGGGCGGAGAACGGTATAACATAAACATCTCCGTCGCCGGGGGCGCTGCCCCAGGGCGGCTGGAAAGTCTAAGCCTTGACGTGCCACCGTAAGGGTATAAACTTTCCAGCCGCCCTGGGACAGGCGCACCCGACAGCGAAACAGTTTATTTTGTACCGTTCTTCGCCCGTTAAGCATCCTTCTCTCCACGTCCCATTCTCTCCCGCCCCCTCTTTGCGCCTCCTCCATCCCCCTTATTCATCGCTCCTCGTCGTGCCACCAGACGTGTCAGTAATTAGGGTGGATTAGGGTGGAAAGGTAACATTGACTGTCCCAACAGCTGCACGGAGGGAGTGTGATTCTTTTCACGTTGTAGCGCGCGGTTCAGCGCCATGCATATTCGTTATACAAGTTTCCAGCAACTATACGGATGGATGGCGAATTGCGTTTCAAATGTTGCTCTCGCTTCAGCGCTGTGCGAATTTGTCGTGACAGCTTCAAATTCCAGCAGGCACACTGATTCGGTCGCTTGCTGGTTCGATGTGTATATCAGAGTGAGTGGGCCGAACGATCTTACACCATCTTTGGGTGCGTGTCTGAAGTAGGCCTCCGAGGTGAGAATTCTTGCTGTTTCTTGTTTGTTTGTTATTGTCGTCCTCGCTTGCGACACGCCCGCGTCCCCTAACCGCGACCCGCCCGCGACGCGCCCGCGAGCCACCTGCGACCAACCCGCGACCCACCCGCCACCCACCCACATTGCTTTGACGATTTTTTGGCGCCTGCGGCGGGCTCGTCTTCCTGTAATGTGAAAAAAGTCGGCGCGAGTTGCGCACTCCTCAAGAGCCTCGCAGACTGCGGACGACCCCACAACTCCCTCACTGTTATCTGCAACTACGGGGGCTATGTGATACCAAATACATCGTGTTCTCCCAACAGTTTTCATCATTTGCACATGTGGAAGGCGCCTTATGATCGACATGTGGCTGTCGCCCTGTACCCCTTCTCAGTGTACACCCCGACGTGCAAAGTTTACAACACTTGCAGTGATGGAGGGAGGTTATTTTTCGTCGTGGGGCTCTTGCTTGTGACTTCCCCACCATTCACGACGTGCACAATCGTGTAACCGTTAGACAGATGGATGGCGGCTCCTTTGCAAACAGGTGCTCTCGGTGGGCAGTTTCTTGAAATCCATGCTCCTACCTATTCGCGTCCCTGGCAGCCAGAAGAATGAAGGGCAGGCGCTCGGCATTCATGGGGGTGCTTCCCATGGTGAACAGGCATGCGTGCAGGGACCTGTGAGGACAGGACTTGCGACGGGAGGATGTGTTGCAGCACTGTTGGTACATTCCTGATGTGGTCTGGTCCTCCTTCCCGTCCTGCCCGCCCAACGTGGCCGACCATGAAATCCACCGGCGGATGCACCGCGCCGCCGCGGACCCCTCGGCGCGCAGCCTCGCGCGCTGATTGCAGGACTTTCCGATGCACGCGCGCTCCTTCTCGTTCTGCCCCCTCCTCCTCCTCCTCCTCCTCCTCCTCCTCCTCCTCCTCCTCCTCTTGCAGGAGCGTCTCGGAGTGAAAAGCGGGGGCTGGGAGGTGTGTCGTCGCCCGCCGCCAAGCGGGCCAAGACGCGGCAGGCGCCAGGGGGGGAGCGCAAAACCACGGCGACGGACGAGACGAGGCTCAGCCTCCTTCTGACCCCCCCACACTCTTCCCTCTGTCCCTCCGCCTCCTGCCATGCTCTCTCGCTCCTGCCTTCCCTTTCCCTCGGCACTTCCGTTCACGCGTCCACCCCCTTCTCCCAATCTCCCATCCCCATCGTCCAGCCACCCTCCTTCACTCCTTCCTCCTCATACTTTCACCTTCCCTTCCTGGCCCATGATTCCCTCCCTCCCTCCCTCCCTCCTCCTCCTGCCTTCCTCCTTCTCCTCACCCTCTCGACAATTACACATTCTGAATAGTACACACCTCTTTCTCCTGACTCCGTGAGGAAGAATCTGTCCCTTCCCGCGTATGCTTTTGCCCACGCAGGATTTATGGTTTGTTTACTCGATCCAGTCGTTTTCGGTCAACATGGTGCCCCAGCTTCATCGTGGGCCTCACTTTCGCATCGGCGTTTTGCTCCCGTCGTTCACAATTGCGCTCTCGCCTCAGCGCGGGCCTGTTTTCTGGATCCGAGTCCTTTTTTCTATCGTTCTCGCCCACTTCGTTTCCCTCTCTCCGTCTTCCCCGGGTCCTCCTGCTCGTCCCGATCCTTCCACTTCGGCTCCTGCTGCTGCTGCTGCTGCTGCTGCTGCTGCTGCTGCTGATTGTCCTCGTCCTCCTACTCCTTCCTCCTCCTCCTTTTCCTCCTGCTCATCCTCCTGCTCATCCGCCACCTGCAATGTGCGCAGCTCGTCTTGTCTTCGGCTTCTCATCACAAGACGGGGTCCTCTTTGGAGTTCCAGGTCCGCTGTGACTCTGTGACACGCGTTGGCGGATAACAACAGAAAACCAACGGCGTGGGAAGAGAGGGGTGGGAGGGGTAGGATGTCAGACACAGCGCGAGCGCACCGAGCTTGCCTTTCCCTGCTCCGTCTTCTTCCCATCCACCGCCCCTCACTCGCTCACTTACACTCCTAGTCTCGGCCCGAGTACCTTCGGGTACAGGTGTAGCCACAGACCTTCGAAGTGCCCAGCACGTCCGTTGAACACATCGCGAGACTTGGACACACACACACACACCACTCCAGCGTGTGACTGATTCGAGTCACATCCCTTCAGTTCCGCGCGCGCGCCATGGCTCCAGAAGGCGCACGCCGTGCGCCTTCTGAACCACCGACGCCAAGCCACCAGGCATGGGCCGGACAGCAACCCGAGCCGAAAGGAAGCCGGCGTCGCCTCATTCCAGAGCTGTAGTGGCGTCGATAGAGCAGTCGCTGCTTACAACCAACTGGCCCAGAAACGCCAAAACGAGCCGGACACCATTTACCAACTACGTCGTTCCGACCTGCGTAAGCTCAGGGGCGAGCCGATCAAACGTTGCGGGGAAACGAAATCAGTTGTAGTATTCTGTGCTATTCCCTGACGCACAAAGCGGGCTTCAGCCATGACCCACAGCCGACACCCATCAGGGCAACGGCACCGCCCCATTCATCAGCCAGGATGCACCAAACTGGGATGTCCCCGTCGCTCTTGCTCCAAACAGGTCGGAGGACGGACGGCGCATCGTTCGCCAACAGCATCTCCCGTCAGACGCAAGAAGAGGGCACCCGCCTGCTGCGGCAGATCCGCCGCCAGGAGAACCCTCTCGCATTAACCCTCCTGGGGAAGAAATCCAAATCCCTGTCCTCCGTCGGACGGCGAAGGTTACCAAGCCCACGTCAGGACACAAACAGTGAATCATGTACCAACTAGGCCGCACAGAGGTCAACTGTTTGCAAAACGTTGTGCAGCTCACTCTCGACCCAGCAGATGACGTCATATAGTTCCGCGGAGCCATGTTCGAAGCTGACGCCATCGCGGTCGCGCCAGCGCTCTAGGAGCTTTTCGCCTCCCAGTTCTCGGGGGCTTCTCCCATCAATGGCGCGCGCATGCCATGCATAACGGGCGCGGCTCAACAGAAGGCAAATTCACGCCGCGAGTCTGCCATGTGTGACAAGGCACGTCAGCAGCTGGACGATGACCTCACGTATGCCTTCACTTCCTTCTTCACTTCGCACTTCCGCACCGTGCGCATTGAGGAACCTGTGAAGCTGCTGTCGACGCGGCGCGGCCGTGGGTAGGCGTGGGCCCGCGGCCACATTTGGCACCCAACCAGCGGACGTTCCGATCGTCTGCGCCGCCACTGGAGAGGGTGGCATTCAGTTCGATATCAGCTACCGTGGTACCCAGCGCCCATCGCATAGCGAGGACGCCGCGGTGTGGTGCCAAGACGGCCAACCGACTACTCCCCAGGAGGCGCACCAGGCCTCACAAAGGTTCAACGCATTCGGATACATCCGTGCCGACGAGAAGGGCGGGCACCCGTGTCAGGTATTTCGCGAAGGAAGCCGAGCAAGTCGCTTTCGGGCTCAGAGGATCCGACGCTGCACAGGCTAACGCGAGGCTCTGTGTCACGGGTATCGAATCACAGAGCGCCAGAAAACGCAAATTGCTGGAGTCCTCACATCCATCAAATGGCATTGCGAGGTTACACGCGCAGGAGCAGAGGTCGCCACCAGGAGCGATTTTGCCATCTTCCAAGCGGCCGAACCCCCGCGCAATGCCAGTGTCCAAGTCCAATGATCTACTGCCCCCTGAATCACGCTGAAGGTCGACTGCAGCCGATGCCTGCCCGCCGAAAAGGGCCAACCGAAACGATCGTCTCGCCGGAGGCCATCGCGTCGGAGGCGCTCGGGAGCCTTGAGACGGGGGTCAGTGCAGACAGGGGTCAGCCAGAGGGCCAGAATCTTACAGGATCCTGCAGGGCCAGGGGCGCATTGACCCGGGCTTGGGTGTCAGATCCTGCAGTATCTTGCAGGATCCTTTGCGTTGGCCCGGGTTTGGGTGCAGCATCTTGCAGGATGTTGCAGGATTCTGCAAGGCCTGACTGGCCGGGGTCTAGATTGACCCGGGTCGGGAGATCCCCGAGGCGCCAGCGCTCGGGTCACCACCAGGTGGGCCAGTCACTAATGCCTCGCGTTCTCCCCAGGACAGGGCGGCCGCCGGGCCGCGCCGTCGAGTGCGTCTGACACCGCCAGCGAACCAGCGAAGAGGGCCGTCGCCCCTCAGCGCGCAGCCGCGCGAGAAGAAGCAGCGCGGCGCTAGCGCCGAGGGGACTGACCAGCCCTCGCGCAGGGCAGCCAGACAGGCGGCCGAGCGTACGGCGGGAGAAGCTCAGCCCAGCCGCAAAGCGGCCCCCTGGCCATTCGCGGCGCCTAGGGCGGTGACGTAACAGAATGAGGCATGAAATGCGAGGGCTCCAGCGCTCCGCCCCCGCCCCTGCGAGAGCGTCAAGAGCCGCCGGCCTACTGCGGATATTCCGAGGAAGACTCACTATCCAGTTCAAGTGCTCATAGGGTCTCCCATCGGACCGACGCTCGATTCCGCAGTCCCGAAGCTGATCAGCTGAGGCGCGCGGGCACAGTCGTGCGCCTCGAAGCCACGGTGACCAGCGTGGCCACCAGCCAGACAACTCTGGCCCAGCAGCGCCACCAGCTCGACAGAGGGATCGCCTCCGTCCAAACAGCAGACCAACCTGAACGCAGATCTGTCGGGGGTGGACAGAACCCCCGCCCTGGCGCGTCGATCAGTGAATTGTCCGTTTTCGGTTCGAGAGGGCTCCGCGGCCTTGATTTTCCAGGCTTGCGCCCGCCGGGTTGGGGCCCGAGGCCGTTCTCAGCAAGCGAGGGGGTTCTGTCCATCCCTGGATCTGAGGGCTTCCGCGATGTGGATGTCGCCGCTTGTCGCTCCGGCTCGGGCGCAGACCTGGGCGGGCCGCCCCGGGCCCTGTCGCCCTCGCGCCGACCGCCATGGGACAGGGAAGTGAAGGCGCCGATGCAGGGGGGTGGCAAAGCATCCGGCGCAAGAGGATGGAAGCGAGGGATCGGGTTATGACCGAGTGGCCCTGCCGCCTCACCGCTCGCGCCCTGAGCCACCGCGGGGGCTGTGCTGAAAAGGGGCCTCAGTGGGGCCCCCTCACTCAGTCGAGGTGTCGTTCGCCGAGGGTCTTCTTCGACAGCTTTCGCTCGTTTCTGTGGGGGCAGAATGTCTGGGTAGCTATATCCGATGATGCGTTGGGAGTCCCAGTTCGCGCGCCGGCGCCCTCGTCGAGGGGTCGCGGGCGATTCTAGCTCGCGTGCTTGCGTGTCGTCGCTATCTCTCGCGGAAGGTATTTGCGGCATTTTGCTCGGAGTCGCTCGCGTCGCCTATCGCGCGCCCGTGGCCGCGGCCGTCGCGCGGCCGACGTCGCGCGCCAGGGGCCGACGAGAGCCTTCGCCCGCGCCCGGATCGTCTTCTGCGGTTTCTCTCTAAGCGGCCCAGTGCCCGGCGCCATTCCCAGCGAGGACGCCCTAACCCATCGGGAATAGTGATATTTCTTTGTCCGTCGCCGACGCCGGCGACGCGCGGCGCTGGGCCGCGCCTTCGGGCCCATCGGGAACAGCGACGTTTCTTTGCCTTTCGCCGACGCTGGCGACGCACGATGCCGCTTCATCTTCGGCCTCGTCGAAGCCATGCCACTAATGGGACCGCCAGCCGCGACGGCGTGAGCACGCTAGGGTGTTGCCATGTTGCCGGGGCAGCAGGCGGCGTCGACGACCACTCAGGACTTGCGACAGCGCGTGCTCAGCATGGGGCGTCCGCCGTCTGGAAGCGCCGTAGGACCGACGCGAGGGAGGGCAGAGGACAGCCGAGTCCTCGCCGAGCGATGCACCATGACCGCCACAGAGGCTCTCCGCGCCGCCATGCAAGCTGAGCCCGCATGTCGCGCGGCCCATGCGGCACCCAGCTCTCCGACGACGTCTGCGCGCGGCGCTGCGATCGCAGGGCGCAGGGGGCGCCGGCTCCGATTGCCCTCAAGTCGCGCACCACCACGTTAGCGACAACCCCGTCCAAGACCCCGATGACGATCGCGCCGCGGCCAACGACCCCGTCGAGGATCCAGATGACGGGGCAGAAGGCATCATCCAGGTCCGCAGAGCCCGATGACCGCGACCGTGCCGAGACTTGCGCGAGGACGGGGGGCGAATCGCCTGCGCCGTGACATCTTCACCTGGCTCCAGCGCGCGGCAGTCATCTGGTCGCCGTGGGAAGAAAAACTTGCTGGGTTTCAAATTTGGATGGAGGAATGCATTGCGCGCGATGGAGTAAATACAACGCCGCAGCTACGCCGCGTTGATTCGACGCGCGCGAGCCAATGTTGCGCCGCTCGAGTTCAGCCGCCAAAGCGACGCTTATGACATCTGCCTCACCGCAGGGCAGAACGCCCCCGCTACCCGCGCGCATCAACGCAGGGTGCGCGGCGGGCTCTCACGCGCGGGCCGCGGCGTCCATCTAGCCGATTACATTCGCAATTTTCATAGGTGCGAACGTGCGACAGCCCGCCGAAAGCTTCAACGACGGAGCACAAATATGCGGTTGCAGAACTCGGCCGCGGAACGCCCGGCGCCGACGCGCGCCGCGCCTCCGCCTCCGCCCCCGCCGGGGTTGCTACCAGACGTCGTCGTGCCGCTTCCACGACCCAGATGCACCAGGGTGGACATCAGCGCTATCGGGCGCCGACCACGCCTGCGAAGGGAGTAGTAAGAGACGCGGCCAAGTGCCGACTGTCACATGGATCATCTTTGCCGTCGCCGTCGTGACTGTTGCTGGAGAGGCCCCGTCGGCAGCGCGCGAAATTGCCGATCCAGATTATATTTTGCCGCTCAACACGGCCGCCACCACGCTCGAGGACTTCGCGTGCAGTGCTTTCGCCAATGCAGGCCCCATCAGGCGTTTGTTGTATTTCCTCTACTGGGCCAGAGAAGCAGCAGGCGCAGACGATGCGGGCGACAGACAACCTACCTGTCATTGCCCTGGCTGGCCACCAGGCCAAGATGGGGTACCCGTAAGCGCCATTTCAGCGGCCCAGGCGAGCGGCAACCACATCATCATCTTGGTTTGCCCACCGGTCATCCTTGCCCTGGGGGTCGGCCAAGGAAGAGCCCGCCAAGCATCTACGACCATGGCCTGACTCACGCAGGGCCCGCACTTGGCGCGGCCAGCACGAAGTGGTGACCAGTGAGCACCATAGCAGAGAGCAAGCAGCTGGGCCAACCCATCAGTAACACCATCCTGGGGACTTACAGTCAGCGCCTTTTGCGCTCTAGCCCACCCCCTCATGGCTGCCAGAACATAGGCCGTGCGAGCCTGGGACCTGGGACTGGCCTCACGCCTACGTGTCGCTCCACTGGAGGGCTATGCTCCTCTGTTCGGTGATCGCCGCCTCACGCGGCATCGCTTGCACTGCCAGCGTCCGAACGGGTAAATCGTGCCTGGGACGTGGTCCGATGGGTGTCTGGGTGCGAAGGTGCTGCGGAAGAGGAGCCCAGGCTCAGCTAACGACCCAACCTCTGACCTCCAAGCGCCGCTGGTTGCGAACCAGCCAGCCCAGGTTGCCCCGTCCACGGCCGCCCTTCACACGACACGGGCCATTCGCAGGCCACCACAGAGGAACGCCGCAGCCCGCAGTGGACGCCTGCGCAGACGCAGTCGCAGTCACAGTCCACGCCACTTCCGGAGAGGCACCAGCCCAGACGGTCGAGTGGAAAGCGATTTGGCACGACGCCCGACGACACAAGGGGAACCGCAACCGCCAGCCTTTCGCACATCTCACTACTCTCGGCGCTCGACTCCGATCGGCTTCCCCCCTGTACTGTCCATGTTCCTTGTTTTTGACAGGCACGTTGGGGAGACCACCGAGCGGCTCCCGCTCCGCCCTGTTTCTTCCTCCATGCCTCCAGCTTGCTTTCTCTCGCCTTCCCCTCCCTTCCTCCTTCCTTCTCCTCCGCCCCCTTCCCGTCTCTTCCCCCCCTCCCTCCTTCTCCTCCTCCATCTTCGCCTAATTTCCCCCCTCATTTTCCCTCCTCCTCCTCCTCCTTCTCCTCCTCCTTCCGGTTCGTCTTCCGTCCCCCTCCGCCTCTTTCTCCTCCTCCATCCTCCCCCCCCCCTCCTCCTCGTCCGTTTCCTCCTCCTCCTCATCCCCTCCTCCTCATTCTCCTCCTCTCCTCCTCCCTCCTCTCCTCGCCTCCTCCTCCCTCCTCCTCCTCCTCCTCCTCCTCCTCCTCCTCCTCCTCCTCCTCCTCCTCCTCCTCCTCCTCTTCCTCTCCCTTCTTCCTCCGGGATGGGATCTCGCTGTCGCCGCGGTGCTGGCCGCCTCGAGGCGGACCCTGGCCTGACCGAGCAGGGCCACGCCCAGGCGAGAGCGGTCGGGCAGCTCCTGCGCAGGCTGCAGACGGACTCCGTCGGCCGTCGTCGCCATCGTCGTCCTCGCGCTGGTCGTCGGCGGCGACGAAGGGCGACGGGGAGGGCCACGAGGGGAGGAGGGGGAGAGGAGGAAGGGGGGCAGGCGGAGGGGGAGGGAGAGGAGGAGAGGACGGAGGAGCAGGATCGCGGAACAAACAAGTGCACACACACACAACTCGCTGGAAGGTCCGCGCGGAGTTCAGGGATCGGCGCTGGACCCCCTTCCCTGGCCCGCTGGGCGCGCCAGGGGTGGCGTCGGAGGCGCCGCCAGGGGGGGCGCCAGCGCCGATCCGAGCAACCTCCGAACGTTTACAGTGGAAGCCCCTGCCAAGAAACACCTTGCTTGCCTCCAGGGTGCCCTGGGTTTCTTAGGTTTCGATGATCTTGCGATGGGAGGTGCGACGTTCCAACAACAGAAACCCCTGGACGTCCTGGGGTCTCAGGGTTGGGTTTCTTGTGGAATGTTTCTTTTGGACTGGCCTCCACTGTCTGCTTACAGTCGGGGCCCTGAAGAAGGAACCCTTTTCGTTGGGGAGGGGCTCCGCGTTCCTCAAGTGTTTCGCAGCTTGCCTCAGGTTTTCCTTAGGTATTCGATCGGAAATCGAAGTTTAACTTATGGAAAAACGGGACCTCGTTCCTTATTTAGGGTTCCTTAGGTCAACGCCTCGACTGTATGCCATTTGCGGTTCCCCTTTGGGGGAGGGCTACGCGAGGAGCGAGGACAGGGGTCTCCTCCCCCCACCCCTCGCCCCTCGCTCCTCTATAGGGCACACGCGCATCGCCTCGCCGCTACCTCTCGGGGAGGGCTCTACGCGAGGAGCGGGGATAGTGCCCCTCCCCCTACCCTTGCTCCTGGGTGGGGTGGGGGGGGCCACGCGAGGAGCGGGGATAGGGCCCCTCCCCCTACCCTTGCTCCTGGGTGGGGTGGGGGGGCGGGGTGGGGTGGGGGGGGGCCACGCGAGGAGCGAGGATAGGGCGGAACCAGAACGCCGACCGCGCCGCCCCTCGGCGTGGCCGCCTGGCGAGGACGAGAAGACGCGGCCCGAGCAGCGGCCGCGGCTGCTGTTCGCCAGCGGCTTCAAGCGCGCGCTGCAGACCTGCCGGCACGTGAGCGAGGCGACAGGACGGCCCTTACAGCTCGCCATGGGGGAAGCCTCCTCCTCCTCCTCCTCCTCCTCCTCCTCCTCCTCCGCGCAGGCACAACCAGAGACCAGGAAGTTGTGTGCACTCGCCCCAGCCGGAGGAGGCGGGTCCTGAGGTTTGTTCGCCGCCCTCGGGGCCCTCGGGGACCCCCATGGGCCCCCGGGGCCGCCAGGAAAGAACGACTGGGGAGGCAGAGCTCGCCCTGGGGCAAGGCGCCAAGGTCCAGGACCCGCTTCCCTCGGGACCCGCTTCCACTGACGCTCAAGTCGGGCACGTCCCTCTACAGGAGGAGTCTTCAAAAATGGTCAAGCAATAGTCTGGGGATGATTTTTGTCTATATTTGATCATTTAGGGGTACTTTCTGGATACTTTTTATCGGCGTCACCCCAGCATACTTATACCATATGTGCGTCGCACCCCCAGGGGCGACGCGCGCACCGAGAAATCTTATAGTATATGCGCCTTGGCGGGCGCTTTCTGGCCACACCGCTCGGGAAACGATATACTACAATATGGGTATACTATATGTTCGGGTCGGACGCGCGCCTCCAAGGAGAACATGTAGTACCAGTATGTCTTTGTGCGTCCCACTCTTAGTTTTCGTCCAGAGTCCGCCTGCAGGGGGACCTCCCCGACCTGAACCTGTGCCAATCCGCGCTCCCTGGTCGGCGCGCGACGTCGGTCGACGGTCGGCGACCGCGTGCTGAGAAGAGCCGTCCGGGGGTCCGAGGCGGCCCGGCACCGGTGCTGGCCCTGCAGGCAGGGCGGGCGGGCTCGAGGTGCTGGGCTCGGGGAGGGCTCTTCCCGCCGGCAGGCCCTGCCGCGTGTGCTCTCCTGGGGCCGGGAGCGGAACGGCCGCGGCACGGTGCAGGGCGTCTCCGCGCGCGTCCCGCAGGAACCTCGCGCGCCACGGAGTGGGTGAGTGTGTGTGCTGCCCTTCTGCGGCGGGGCCTGGATCAGCGACGGGTCCCGTTTCCCTGGTGGATCGCGGACTTCTGCAGCCGAACGAGGCGGCACCAGCCGCATTTTAGGGAGGGCACCTCCCCCGATCCATGGATTTGGCGACCGCGCGCCAAATCCATGGATCACTAATCCATTGCGCGCCCCCGATCCCGGGGCCGTTTTCGGGCCCCGGCCGTCAAGAACGGATCCGGGGTGAAGGCCTGCACCATGTGGACCCTGGGAGTGGTCCGGGAGTAGATTCCGGGGCTCAAGAGACGGGGGCCCATGCACACGGGGGTCAGTCATAGCGCCGGATCTTGCAGGATCCTGCAGAGCCAGGGTCGCATTGACCCGGGTTTGGGGTGCAGGATCCTGCAGGAGACTGTAGAAATTTGCAGGATCCTGTAACGCCCGACTGACCCTGGTTTGGATTGACCCAAGCCAGTATGGCCCGAAGATTTCGAGCGTCACCCCCCTTTTCTGACAGATTTTCTGCGGCCCAACCAGGTCGGACCCCCTAGCCGCCTCCAAGCAGGACGGCTCCCGCGCGGCCTGGTCGGCGCTCGACGTCGGTCGACGGTCGGCGACTACAAATAAGGTGGTTACGCCGGGGTGTGGTTTGCGCTCTGCGTCGTTGGGGCTTGGGGGGCACCACGTTGCCCTCGTCGGGCCGCCTCGGGGCGCGGCGGAGAACTCTGTCGAGGTCCTCGCTCGCCCCTCTGGGGTCCGCGTTGCAAGCTGCACCCTCTGCAAACCACGCCCAGAGATGCGAGGCTCAGACAAAATCGAAGCGGCTGGTCTGGGGCTATTTTCGGTCTCCGGGGGTCCTGAACGGGTCCCGGGACCTTCAGAGAACGAGTCGATCGCGGCGATGCACCCACCGGCCCTACAGGGAAGCTGTCCAGACTTCCGGGGGGCCCACGCATCGAAGACATCGGAGCGCCGGACGCC